TTAAATCACGTAGTGTGAACTAGGCTTAAAGGAACAACATGTTTGTTGAACACTCACGCACAGACACAAACGTAAAGACGATGTAAAACGGAAGTCTTTTCTTCCCTATTGTGAGTAAGTGAATCTCAAACTAGAAAAAAAATGGATTTTATCCATAGCGAATTGATTGGATGATTGTGGTTTGCTATTGCAGTGATCTCATTTGAGTGACAGGTTGCTCCGCCCTCACTGCAAAAGGGAGGGAAAGTTATCTTGATTAAAGTACTTTTTTTAAAGTGCAATACTTTAAGTGCACACCATATCCATACTGGTAGTCACTGTACCCTTTAAAATGGTGGATTTTTAAAAAATAAATAATTATTAAATACATTAAATTACATCATTAAAACATTATTTTCTCTGAAGACTCAAATGAACACGCTTCCTCAGCCTGGTCTCTTTCATCGTCTCTCCATTTATTAAATTCAGTCAAGTCGCGCTCCAACCGTGTTATAAAGTCGAGAAAGTCCGGCAAATGCGAACAGATTTGTTGGCTTTATTGTCGAGATCTAATCATAAACGGAGAACTTGTTCGTATATACATTCACATTTTCTATTTCGTTCAAAAATGTTTTTCGAGTTTGCAAGTACTCCGCGAATCCGGCAAATATCGTTAACGCTCTTTTTTCTTTTAAATACTTTTTTTCCGAGAGTGCATGCAGTTCAAGTTTTGTCGACAACTATGAGTCGCTCAACATACGTCACTTACTGCATTGCTCTGATTGGTTGTACGTCTATCCAATTGAGTGCAGAGTTGTTGTTTTTTCCTGGTTCGATTAAGACACGCCTCATAATCAAAGCCCTATGGAGCAGTATCAGACTCAAATTCTGAATAGAATACGAGTAAGACGAAGTCAGGCTAAAATATTCCTAAAAAAAAAAAAAAAGATTTCATGGTGACTTTAAGAAAACCTTTGCAAAAGTCCTAATCAAAGAAAGTTTCACAGTCTTCCCTGACATTATTACAAGTGCTACAAAGGACATTGCAAAGGCACCAGGAAGGTGGATGTTTAAAGTTAAAAGGCCAGATGCTTGTTTTCATAGCTGGTGTCAGAAGAGGGCAGGTGGAAATGGCAGGACATTGGCCTCTGGGGGCCTGAGGGTTTAAATAGAGCCTGCTGACATAACTGACCGGAGATCTAGGCTTCTGCTTCATTTTTCCACCACACCTACATCTTTTCCGCCTGATCCCAGGGGGTGAAGATGCTGGATGTAAAACGGTGTCAGGGCCCCAAAAAGCAGGCTCAGTCACAAGCTATCTTTATCACTCACTTTTTCCCCCCAGTGACGAAGTCAATGCAGGTCTGCTCAGAATGAGCATGGATGAACTTCTCAAGGTGTGAATTCGGATAAATATAGTGATGCACCAATATTAAAATTCCAAAACAGATAACTTGTAAATTAATTTTACATTACAGCCGATAACCAATAAATGGTTGTTATTGAAATGTGCTCTATTTTCGCTAAATAAATTAAAAACCAAACACTACAACCAATTATTTTAAATGCTATTGTAAATGTGAATTTAGTAGGGATGACCGATATGAAAATTTTGGTCGATACCGATAACTGACAATTCTTTATATCTGAAAGCTGATAACCGATATATTGGATAATAAATCTAAATCCAGGTTTTTACATAATTTTTAAGAGCCTGATTACAAAAGCAAAAGTCTCACCAATAAAAGCCATGTCTCAAGCCTATATGACAGACTTGCGCTGCACATTTTGCACTTGTATTTTCCTTTTTTGAATGGATACCAATCATATTTCAAGCAATTCAAAACCACCATGGCGAACAGTGCACATTCGAAGTGTCTCAGCTGAAGGAAATGATCCATTATTTATGAGCTTTAATATACATCCGCCATTTTTTTTATTGGTCCGATAACGATAACATTAAAAATGAACATTACAGCCGATGGCGATATGGTGGCTGATATATCATGAATCCCTATAATTAAGGCAACACAACATTATAACTGTACATTATGAAAAACTAGATACTCATTTAGAGATTTGCTAATAATTATACTTAACAGTGTCATTAAATTATTAAAGTTAAGTTATTAAAGTGTTTTTAAACATCAACTTCAAGTGAGTGTTAGATGACAAATATCTATTACTGGCTGATACTGGTTGAGTTTTGGACTTGTGTTGTGGCTTGTGAAATATATACAGTACAAGTCCTGATTTATTTCAAACAATAACTCTTGACTTCCTCACTGGGCTCAAACTAATCCACAGGTATGCCACTCGAAAGTGGTCAAATAAACGCCCCTAAAACCCATTTATCTATTAATTTTCACCTTTCGTCGTTACCTGATCTTTTTATTTAAATCCTTTTCTATTGTAGAGAATCCATACGGTCGCATGAATCACTTTCAATTTGAGGGATTCAGCCCAGATTAAAGCATCATTTTAACTAACGTCTTCAACGAGTACAAAAACCTGCCAAACCAACCCAACGTGGCCACTTGTCGGTTTAAGCCGATCTCAAAGGAGAGAAAATGTTAAAACACATTAATTATTGCCAAACAAATGTTTATGATAGAAGATCAACTGCACCTACACAAAGCAAATATGTATTGATCTTCAATGCAAATGATTAAGCACCTGCTTTGGGTTTCTTGACAGTCCTCATTCTTGCTGTTCTCAGGCTGCTCAGATGTTTGTTGAGATCTAGAGCTGCGATTCTGCAGGAGGGAAGTTCCTCGCCTGGATTGACCTCGACTCCTTCTGCGAGCCACTTTACCCACGGGCCCTGACCTCACCCGCCGGACTGAAGAGTTGGAGCTGTGAAGAGTCAGAAATCAGTACTCAAAAACTCACTCAGGGACATACAGCGACTGTATTTGGATAGACTTAAAATGTCTTTATTTTATTGCATAAACCAAGTGGCATCTGCAAACAAACAATAGGCGTTTCAATTACCCTTCAAATTGCGCAAATTGAAAATATGCCCGATGGAAACAAAGTCAATTTCACAAAAACCCCCATTTATCGCAAAAAAAGTTTTTCGTGGCAATTTGAAAAAGAAATATTTTGCAAAAATGCAATGAAAAAAAAAGAGGATCTTACCATTTAGAGAGAAAAAAATTAAAACACTAAAATTTTGCACAAATCTGTAATGGAAACGTGCCTACTGAGACCATTTCCTCTTTTGCTTTTAAGTGGATGATTTTACACTGAAGTAACAGGACACCATACACACACTGATTTAAACCTGCAGTCCTGAATGATACACTCTGTTTACTGTACTCACAAAAAACACACACACACCCTCACATAATTACACTTACTGTATCACAAAACATAGCATAGCCACACTAGTTATCACCACTGCGTAACAGATGACTAGACAGTTCAACATGTATTGGTGTATGTGGAAATTGCTATTGATTAAGAACTAGTACTGACTACATTCAATGAACATTACGGTTAAAATAAACCACATGTTTTATGTATTTTTAATGCAAATAATCATTCAAATAAAACAATTAAAACTAAACTGCATAATTACATGAACTAAATGTATTTTCATTAAGTATCTATATTAATACATTCTATTTTAATTATCTGAGCAAACTGTCTGCCAAAAAAAAAAAAACATTAATTAACATTTTTCCCCTGTTTGCCTGTAAAGACATTTAGCTTTAAGCAAAAAAAGGGTAAAGACAAAAGCTACATTTAATTCTTAAATCATATATAATATTACTATTATAGTATTTATTAATATTCATTACTTTTAATATTTCTATTTATCTTCAGTTTATGTTATTTCTGTTTAGTAATCAACATATTTTATATTTATTTCATATATTATTTCTGTTTAGTGCCTCAACATATTTCAGTTAATTGTCTAATTTTCACCAAATTAAAAAAAAAGTAAGTTTGTTTTTAAATGAACTATTATTTCAATTAATGGTTTTAATTAACAATAACAACACTGCTTAATTCAAAATATTATATTTTCACTGAAAACAAGTCAATTAGCTTATGCAATTATGCAATTAGCTTCTTAATTGGGTATCTTGTTTTAGGATTAAAATGCTTTTTCACAGTGCAGACCAACTAGCGTTTGCTACCTATAAGATGCAAAGTACTATACCAGAGTATCCTGATCGTTTTTTTACAAAGCTTTGAGTTTTTCCAATATTATTTCTAAGATCCTATTTATGCAAATCTGTATTTACCCTAAAACCTCTTTAAAATCACTGATTCCTTCCATGACTGGCCAATGAATTTCTGTATTTCAACACAGCCTGCTGTCCGGGTATTTAAGCCTATTTTTCTGGGATCAGGGTGGAGTGATGAAAACTTGAGCTGGGTGATTGGACACACACAGAGAAAAAGCCCTGTTATTTCCTCATCATGTCAAAATTAAAAAAATCCATGCGCTGACCCCTCAGTGACCCGATTCCATCTCAAGGATCATTCTATTGACCCTGCAGGAGCTGATGGGAATGTCAGGTATTAGTAGGCATGCTAAATCCAACTTTCATCAAGAGAAAGGATGTTGAAATTTACTGCATAATTTCAATTGCACATTTTCCAATTATTTCAAACATTGAGGAACTATGGGATATAACGTTGGATGCAGCCACCACCACAAAATTTGGATTAAACCATTTTAAATTGTAATACCTAAAAACTAATTACAAAACTATGTCTTCTTCTAGGCACAAAACAATGTACTGTATGAACACAAGCCTTCATAATAAAATTCAAATGACGCGCACCTGAACTTGAATATCCTGATCAAAGATAATCAGATACACACACATGCAAACAGGCGAGTTAAAGACGCAAAACTATTTCAACTAGCCAGAAGCATTTTCCCACACGTTAAACCCCCAGAACCAGATTCATTTTTGCTCAGACAAAAGTACAAAGTCATAAATAATGTCACGACGAAAAAAAACAAAACAAAACAAAACGCAAGACCTGATTGGTGGCATCCACATATCTTTAACTACCTGAACATTGTTTAATGGGATAATTCACAGAAATATAAAAATTCTTTCAAGATTTACTCATCATTGACTCCCTCATCTCGTTCCAAACCTGTATGACTTCATTTCTTCTGTGCAACAAAAAAGATATTTTGAAGAATGTGCTGGCTGTTGTGTTAATTCAACCAAAAATGAAACCCGTAAGACCTTCGTTCGAAACCTGTACGACCTTCGTTCATCTTTTCGGAATAGAAATAAAGATGGACTGCAACATAATTGCCACTTCCAAGGCCCATAAAGGTAGTAAACACATTGTTGAAATAGTTCATGTGACTACAGTGGTTAAACCTTACATGACATGAGGGTGAGTAATTAATGACAGCATTTTCATTTTGGGGAGAACTAACCCTTTAATAAGGACTGGAGCTTTCAAGCTTCAAAAATGTTGCAAAAGTACCATTGAATCATCATAAAAGTTGTTTATAAGAGTTATAAGAGAGACATCACTAGTTCTCTCAGAAACATGCAATAATTTAGGATGAATTTCAGGATTTTTTTATGGAATAATATCTGTTCATCAAATGGAATAAAGTTTTATTTAAAGCTGCAGTTCGCCGTTTTTTCCTCTGCAATTGCAGTCATTTGCGTAATATCAGCTTAGCATGAGTTGTACTTCAACACCCTCGACACGGCACAGCGTGGATGAACACAATGTTTGAGGAGAGTGTGAGGCTGTCAGTCGCCGCGCCGGTGTGGATACTGGCATTCAGAATGACAGATTACTCTTTTTGGAAATATGACCAACATAACAATTTTCACCGGAAAATGTCATCTGAACTAGTAACTAACATCCACTTTTGTTCTGGTTTTGACATTGCAGTAAATCACACTGATTAAATCTAACAATCGCTTATAAGTTATCATATCACGCAAAACTGTGCAAATTATACTTTGTTCTCAAATCGTTAATGTTAACAACGTCAGCATTGCGTGACTACATGTAATGTCCTTCCGATATTATCCTCGTTTTCGCACGGGTCTGTTTGCAGTCTCTTTTTTCAGTCGCCACTCCGAACGAAGTCTTTTGCATTTTACATGGGTGGGTGGGTGAATCTGTTGTCACTGGTGATTGTTGTTTGAACCTTTCTGGACCATTTTCATTTCCATTTTCTGCCATCAAATTGATAAGTTAAATTATATCAAATGTTGTGAGAAAAGGCTCTCCACCTCCAACATCCTCACACGCAATATAGCCTATACTATCCGAGACTCCTCCTTTATGTGTACAGATATGATGTAATGACCCAAAGACATGCTCGAATCTCCTGCGCAAATCTACCAGTACCACTGAAATTAAAAACATTATAACAAGCTTAACGTTTTGAATTGAGCTACGGCAAGCAGACAGTTTTGAAGACTGGCTGGTTATGCGTTTTCTCAAATAATAATAGATAATTTTTAACCCAACAAAAACTACCGACTGCAGCTTTAAAAATAATAAAATAATTATTAAAATATTAAAATTATTTGCTTTTTTAATAATACATTGGTAATGATTTCTTCGTTTTATTTTCAAGAGGCATATACTTATTTATTGCAATTCCACTGAATACTTTTTTGGTGTTGCAAAGAGAAAAAAACAAAAACATGGGTTATATACTTTTTATAATACTTCCAAAAGTAAAAATTTGGTCATTATTTACTAGCACTCAAATTTTGGAACAATTATTTTGGAGTAAATAATGACAAAATGTTTATTTTTGGAAGTATCCTATTTATATTAGTTATATTTAATAGTTCTGAGGCAGGGGAATTGCAGTGAATTTAAATGTATTAATTAACGAAAACACATTTAAAACACAAAAAGGGGGCAGGTTATTGACTCCTTGTACATCGCTCTACCATCTTGCCTCCATTTCTTTCACAAACCTCTCTTCAGTAGCACCTTCATCTGAATCTTGAGAAGGGAGTCGCTCCTTCTTGACCCCACCCCGAATGGAATTCTGGGAACGTCTACTACTGCTCCTCTTGGTTCGAACCTGAATCACATATTTCTTAGACTGAGTATGTACATGGGATAAATGTATAGCAAAAAAACTGTCAAAAGTGTATCTTCTCTCGGAGTTGCTGATACCACATTGTCGTTTTTGATTTCAGATAAAGTAAAGGCCATGTTTAAGGCTAATTATGTGGTTTATCCAAATACAAAGGTGGTATTAAAAGCAGGTGCACCTGTGCCTGAGCGAAGGAGGTGGAGACTCTTGCTTTGGGGAGGCGGCTGAGGGCAGGGCTCTTCTTGGCAGGAGAAGATTTGGCAGCTGTACTGTTCTTGCCTGATTCCAAAAGGTAATGCTGAGCCACTTTCAGCAGTCGTGTGAAAACATTCTTAGCGCTGGAGCCCGGAGCTTCTGTAGAAACACAAAAGAAACATAATCTTAAGAAAGTCTCAAGAATCACAGATCTTAAGACTTGGAAGTGGAGTACAGTATGTTTATTAACATTTATACTAATATATTATACACACACAAAATCACTTTTAGCCGTGTTTCCACTGAAATTACCAGGAACAATTTGTCCCAGGAACTTTTTCCCCCCCAGACCTGTTGCTTTCTGCGTTTCCACCGTAGTCTAAAATACCATGAAGATTTAGTCCGGCAAATAAAATTGGTGACGTAGGACTGCACGCGACTTTCCAGTTCCCGCTGGATTTCATCCTCCGCGTATAAGCTTAATAAAGCCTGAACCTTGTCGACAGTCCATCGGTCAAATTTTTAAAACTCCATTGTTGATTCGAACAGCAAACGAAAAGACTGGTGGTTGAAATAAAATACTGTGTGGATTCAACCAATCGAAACGCCCATGTTCAGCGCCCAAGTCCCACTTTCGAAAGTTCCTTAACGTTGAGAACGTACTATCTTGGGGCTCTCTGAGGGGGAAATATTTACACGGAACTTAATTTAGACCCTGGTCCCCGTGTTCGAAACACAACGGTTTGTACCACCCCAAAGTCCCTAGATCCTGGGGAAAGTTCCTGCAGTGGAAAAGTGGCTTTAGTGAGTAAATTTAGTACCAATGGGTCAATGGGTGAACTTCTGTGAGTTGCAGTATATTTCCAGATACAAACAAACATCACACCACAAATGCGCCCACAGCACAAAAGTGAATGTTATCAGACTATCAGATTTACACAGGTGCTGCCGGCCTGCTCTCGCTAATGCAGGCTGTGTGCTAGAGAACAGATATCCATGTCAGCCACATATGCCACTAGGGATTCAGCCTGTCCCCTGTAATCTCATCAACAGAACAAGGAAATGTGGGCTGTATTGTATTTCAAAGCGTCTGTTTTGGTGGTTTTGAGTCGGGTAGGTGACAGAGTACAGTTGGTAGATACGCTCTCTGCTTGAGTGTAATTCGCTTGACATTGAAAGCATAAATTGGTGACCTGAAGTACAGGCTGTCAAAGGTTTCAGCCTATTGTCTTGAATTTCTTTTTCTGGGCTTTCCGCCAATAGTATTAACTTGTGCCATGTGATTGGATCCAAGCGGCGTTATAATCTCATGTATGATACGCCAGGGTGCCATCTCAAAGTACTGGGGCACTTTCGTTATGAGACATTGTATCTCTCATAGTGATGACCCATTAGATTAATTATCGTTGAGGTCCAGACCTGCCTAAATTACTCATAAATAATGTCTATGAACCAGCTCACCTTTTTTAGAAGTGTTCTTGGCACCTTTTTGTGAAGGTTTAACATCGTGTCCATCGCTGAGAGAACTCGTACAGCCTTTTGCGCTTTCCTTTTTCACTTTCTCTGCAAAGACAGGTTTAAAAGAGACATTTTTTATATGTAACAGGTATCTGAAAGATCTGGTAGGCCAAAAAAAAAAACTGTAAAAAAAAAGGCAAATAAAAATAAAAAAACAGTAGTAAATAAAAAAAGTTATATAAAATAAAATAAATCTTATATAATCATATAAAATCTTATAAAAAGTTATATAATATATAAAATAAATCTATATAAAAAAAGAAAAAATATATATAGTAAAGAAATTATAGTAAATTTAATAAATAACAGTAGTTAGAATGTATAAATCATTTGCTTTCTTGTATTGTGTTTGCCCTAAGTGTTGTAGAGAAAGCATGTTGTTTTGGGTATTCAAGCTTTTCTATCCCACAAAAACACAAGCAAAGCAAAACAAATAAAAATACTGCAGACACCCGCCGACTCATCGCAAATTACATAGTAGTAAATGTTTGTGTCGCATTTTAAACTACACAAAAAGTCAATATACATTTGAAGTACTTCGCAACTACAATTAAACCTAAATCCCGAGCTTTGGAGAAAGCAGTAATTTCACAATCAATCTCAATCAGCGGCAGTTTAAAAGCTTTAGTTTGCAGTGGATCTCATAAAGACAAGTTCTGCCATGTTCAAGAGCGTAATGAGAAAACACTGGAAGGTACCAGAGCTCACCTTGCCTCCCTGAAGCACCCGAGGGCCTCAAAGGACACATAAGTCACAAACTATTTACTCATTTACATTCATTTTCTGGTCGATTTTTTAATACATCAAAAACATGTCAGCTACTGACAAAATCCTTTCTGCCAAATTCCTGGGGTTTCCCTTGAAGAGATTCAGAGGTATAATTTTGAAGGGAATAAAAGTTAATGGACCATGTCACCCACTGGCATCAGTTTCAAAGAGTAGGAACAAAACAGATAAGCTGATGATGCAAAGTAAAGGTTTATTCTGTGGCTCTAATGCAATAATGACAGGACTGTTCTGAAAGAATGATGGGTAATCCCATCATTTTTGTGCCGTTTGATAGGAAGAATGTGCATTGTATTTCTCCTACAAACTGGCGTCACAAACAAAACATAAACTGATGTGACCGTTGATGAGAACTGATAAATATCAGATGACAAAAGGGTTCAAACGAAAAGAGTTTCCATTTGAGAACAATAAAAGAGAAAGATGGCAGAATGAAAGGATAAAGTCTTATTAACTTTAGCCAGCTGTATTAAACTCATGCATGCTTGGTCAGTTTCTCCAGCCCTCTCTCACGGACACACACGGTCTTTGAAGAACAAAACTCCCAGCTTTAGGTGGAGCTGAAAAGCTTCTTTCCTCTCGAATTACTCAACTGATAACCAGAAGGCTATCGTAATCTAACCAGACACAGAAAAAGGCCACCTTTCTGTGTTTAAAAGTCTGCGCAAGCGCAACCATGATAGCAAGCAATCATGACGCTCTGGTGTCGTTACACACGATTAGTGTGTGATGTGTGTGTGTTGCCGCTCTATTACGAGAAGTCATTTTAAAAGCAGTGTACAGGCAATACTTGGTCTAAAGCAGCAATAATAATCAGCAGCAGTTTAGTAGATCTAGTCCACCAAGACCAAATGCATTAACATTGCCTTATTCAAATAGCATGTTGTTGTTTACATTTTGTTGTGTTTTAAGGATACATCGAACAAAATGCAGTCAGACTTATGCTTCAAATAAAGCTGAGAACATTTAATGACCTCTGAGGCCAATGCAGAATAAAATGAGCACACTATCTAACAAAGAGAACAAGTCTTTTGATTTGAAATTGTTAAAAATTGTGACACTGAATTTCAAGAGCCTTATGCAACAAATTACATCATTTGCATTGGATATGAACCCACCAGATCAGATCTGCTACCGTCACAATCTGCTTGTGCATGTCATGTGTGCCAATCAGAGCAAGCGTTCGGGTCAACATGGATCAGCAGTGGCAGCAAATTCCTGCTCTCAAACTAGTATCTGCCACTTCCTCTGACGCACAAACAGCAGCAATGTTGGCCTGGCAACAGGTAACCATGGCGTCTCTGCACAGGAACTCTGTAAGACCAAGATTAAATCTGAAGTTTCCTTCTGGGACGCCAGTCCCTGTTTCATAAAGACCGGATCACAAGTACTCGAGAATGAACTACATAAAATAATAAAAATAGTACAGTATAGTACATCAAAGAGAAGTGGAGTTTAAAACGGATTCCACTGGTGAAAATATTTTCTTTCTTTTCATTTTGTTGCATTTTGCATTGTATGCCATGACTTAAGCTTGAATTAAAAATACTAAAACTTATGTTTATTTGCAGGTTTTTATTGTTATCCACAATGTTTTTTTTTCCCTTTCATATTTTTCTTTAACGTCACTATTTAATTTCAACCATCCTATATAGTCACTAAAAGCTAATTAAATTACATTTGATTAAATTTAATTAAAATTCAATTTAAAACTCTCTCCCGGGACTTCCGGTGTAGCACTGAAGCAGATGGCTGCTTGAAATAGAGTTTTCAGACTGGTCGATTGTAATTCCCTGGAAAATACACTTGGGAAGTTAAAAACATGGAAGGGGAGAAGAAAAAAGGGTTAAAAAAATAAAGCTGGCTCCAAATGGACAAAAAGGAGAAACAACCGAAGATATGGACGGCGGAGAAGGCGGTAATGGAAATAATAGCGAGGCCGGGAAAGCAAGCGAAGCAGTAGCTAGCTAAGGAAAGAGAATCTATTTCAACTCGGACTACCCACTAGAGATATTGAAAAAGAGGAAGGAATATGGGGGGGATTTTAAAGGTGCTCCAATCCAAGGGAATTTGTTACCAAATGCCATATCCAGCAAAGCTGAGAGTGTTCTTTGAAAATGGTGCACAAATCTGCACAAATAACAGATGAAGACTGGACAGGTATGTGTGATTCAGGCAAATACCAAAAACTCAAGATCCTGGAGGGAATTTGGTGTAAGAATTTAATACGATTTTTTTATAACTCCCAAATTAACAGCACTTCATACAGGCTCACAGAGCCGTGGCTTTTAATCATTATAATATTTCTGCCCAAAAATAAAATGATTTTGTCAAGAAGTAGTGGCAGAGATTGGGAAAAGAGGGTGGATTTTTCATACACTACTAAATATTTAGGTAAAATACCAGGAAAAGTTTTAGACAAGGATAAATATTTATTAAAAATGTTGTTAGCAAGCAGAAGGAAAGCAATAACCCATAAATGGTTGTAGGTGAATCCTCCAACTAAGGATCAACAGCTAGGGATCGTAAATGAAATATACAGTATGGAGAGGCTTACATTTATATTAAGACTCAAATTTGACAAATGTAACCAATGTAAGTTTTGGGGAAAATGGATTATGTATGTAAACCACTGAAGTGTGATAATGTATATCAAGATGTTGGAATTATTTTGTGAATAGGGGACAGTGCAACAATAAAATCAACAACATAGTACATTTTGACCTAATAGCAATCTTATATATATATATAAAAAAAATTAATAATTAAATGCACAAATAAAAATATCAATGCATAAATAAGTAAATAAAGTGGGTCTATATTTCCACAAGGATCATAATCGTGCTTAACTCACGCACATGGAAGCAGTGTGAACATGCAGGATTTCTTATCATTGTCCAAGATCCACCTTCAAAGCTTCCTCTTCCCATAAATTCCCATTAAAACTCCCATAACTCACTATCATTACACCTGGAGGGAGGGGGCTCCAGGTTCCCATGCACCATAAAGAGTTACATTTATTTCCTTTACCTTTATACCTTGGGGCCCAGTGTTTCTTTGAGGGATTTCCTGTACCCTTAAGCAAACAATGCACATCTAACGGAGTTCAAACAAAACGCCCAAGATTCAGTTTCTAATTAAGCTGTTTCTCCAAGTTATGCGTGTAGTTCGCAACTTTGCACATGCCAAAATATCGCGCCGCAGGAAAACTGATAACGTGGAGCCTAACAACAGATAACGTGGAGCCTAACAATGAGTACAGTAAAAGTCTTGAGATGAAGCCAAGGAACACAACAGAAATTCAAAGGAAATGGGCTGACTTTTGAACATGCACCCAAACAATCAATCACAATAAAAACGGTCAAGTAAAGAGACCACCACTTGGAAGACCTGCACCCCAACAAAGTAAAGCTAACATGCTGTTGATTTAACGTCTGTAATGTCCCACTCTCCCTTTGATGAGATTTATGGTACAGCTGTGGGACATGTGATTACAGGAAGTCTTTAACTAAGAACTAAGACACCAAAAAAAAGTTTCATTCATGAACATGCTCACTTTAGTTTTAAACGATAAGTCACACAAAATCAAACTCGTCCTCATGTCAATCTTTAATCTCTGTATGACTTTTTTATACATACAAAAAAACAGGGAAATCATTTTGGTGAACTATTCCTTTAAAAGACTGACCGTAAAATGATCCGCTTGCTTCAGGCTTTGGATTTGATTGTGACAAATTGACAAAGGAAAAATACTTACTGGTAAACCATCTGTTTCTGAGAGAGAGGTTACCATGTGTGTTGCTGATGCAGTTCATACAAACCTTTAAGGATATTAAAGAGATTGAGACATGAGGAGGTTTGGCAGACAGTAAAACACAAAAGCATATTTACAGTGATTAACCGTACTCCTTCTGTTTGGACAAATCCTGGGCTATATTCCAATGCTAAAGGGAAATGCAATCAGATGGAGAAACAAATATTTCAGATTCGGCACTATTTCTAGGTCACTAATCAAGACAAATTTAGCACATATTTTATATAAATAAAGGTAATTTAGTTAGTATTTTTTACTATTTTAAATAAATACACAAATTGTATAATGTATGTGCCAAGTGCCATGCAGCAAGTGTTTATACGGAACAACCATTGGCACTATTTATACGGACACAGATTTTATATTTAAATAAATAAAAAGTTAAATATAAATGTACACACACACACACACACAAAATCTTTCATTATTTTTTAAATGGCTTCCC